CGAGGATTCGCGTTGACGGAACATCGTATTTGTGCACGCCCCTGCAGCTGGATCAGCATGCGATGACTATTATGAATGCTAAGACTCGTACCAAATATTACTGGATTGCGTAGCACCAGTATGCAAGATGAGTTGTTGTCTGCGTGCGTTGCCGAGCTGTTCGCGCCGGGCGCGACTGCTACCGATAAGGAAATCATCGAGAAGGTGATCAGAAACACCGATCCACTTCGCGGACGAGTGGGGGCCGACCTGGCCAGGGCGCTGCTCTACGTCATCGGCGTCGCGTTCGCCTGCCCAGTCTCGAGCGACGCGGTGGCGCGCCCAGATTGGGGGCCATGGATGGCAAAATGCACCGTCGAGCGCAATCATGTTCTTGTTGTCCCCTACACATCATCATCGTCATCAAATCATCATGTTATCAGCGATGGTTTCTGGTTTGGCCCAGAATCATCGTCCTGTAACTGTCGCGCTAGGTTATGGGCCTGGTTGCTCAAGCCTTGAGATCGCCAGCGCGCTGAACTCGTACCTCGAGCCAGACGCAGACATCACGAGTCAGAACTCCCTTGTTTTCCTCAGAGAGTTAGGTCACAAGGTTAGATTAGATAGACTAGCACTTTCAGCTTCCCCCGCTGAAGCCGCAGAGGAGAGCTAGAGACCATATGGGCGCGATCATCGGCGATGGCGACGTCGCTACTATCTCTAAGGAGCGCTTGCGAGAAGAAGAACCATATATCCTAGAACAAATCAACTTACCTGGCGAGCCAGAACACGAAAGAAGGGGAAGGACAGCGTGGTTGCAAATCCCGCTCCGCACAAGGGTCGCTATTAAACGACTGCGCAGACAGTTTGGTCATGTACCTAATCGTGCTTTCGTGCAGCTATTGAGAATCTCGAGAATGTCGTCGGACTACATTGAAGCTGATAAGAATTACATCAGAAACCGTTAGCTCAGACTCATAAGTTTGCCTTGCCCAAGAAATTCTGCTTCAATCATGACATCGGTATCAATTGTCTGGAGGTAAAGGACAGCAGTGGATGGCGCTACACCTTCCTGAACATAGTTTGCCAGGGTGCAACGCTTCATCGTGCAATCTTTGTCTAACAGGAAGGTGGTGCGCCATCTTCGAGAGCATGCCTCGCTGCACTCCAGCAGCGCTGGTGCGCGTGGGCAGGTTAACCCAGACGACTGGTGTTAGACCGTGGACTGCACAACAGAGGAGTGGCCCTGCAATGGGTCGACCTTCGCGACGCCGGAGTCGAGTCTCCCGAGCAGAGAGGCTGCGCCGAGAGACATGGTGGGTTTCGGAAGAACATCTTCAAGTGGGTGGTGCACGAAAAGAATGTTTCCGGACTCGATGAAGTCATCTCTACTGCATCAGAAGTTGACAGCGCGAAGAATGAGATGTCACGAGTCGGCGGGCTCGCGCTTGCTCAGTGGGTGTTCGGAAGGGTGCCCCATGTCCCAGTGAGCAAATTCGACGACGAGGAAGCTTTCGACTTAGGAGTGCTTGCGAATGTTGCAGAGGACGGAGCCGACGAGTTTTCCCGCCAGGCTGCGATCCGGGCGTCTGCCAGGGAAGCATTCGCGGAACACGACGTCGGGGGTAGAACGGCGAGGGCCGCTCTCCGAAAAGCAACGCCACTAGCCGGGGAATGTCAAGTACGCGATGTAGTGTGCTTCGTAAAAGGCCGATCGACGGCGAAGTCACTGCTCGTATCGTTGGATTCGATGGCAAAAACGCATTGGTTATCACAGAGGGTGTACCTGTCTGCGTGGCTGTCGACAGGCTTCGACCGTGCACTGCGGCGGAAGCGTTGGCATGCCAGTATCTCTCCAAGCATCGCGACGGCGAAGTCGAAAGATATGCATCTTCAGACGGACGACAACAGTCATTCGTGTACTAAAGACGCGAGTTGTCATAACCACAGGTACACAATCATCCTGTGCAAGAACATCCTATGTCGACGGGCTGCCAGGGATCCCAGAGGACCCCGAGTTCATAGACGAAGCATTTCACCAAATGGAGGAATATGAACTGTCTGAAGGAATGGTCGTTCCTGTGACGCCCGCGTCGAGGTCATCGCTGGCGACTCGAACGCCACTCCAGAGGTCTTTGCTAGACGACGTCCCACGCGGCATACAGAGTCGTAACGAAGTGATGCGCAGAACAGTCGAGAATGGTGATGTTAGCTCGGGAAGGGTTTCCGATTCTGCCTCGGGGCCAGCTCCCGAGCCTGCGAACCCGCTTCTTGATGCCGTGCGCAGGGCCGGAACAGCAGGGCCGGGCATGGATCTGCTAGCCCGCAGGGAAGCATCATTCGCTGTTAAGCCACATGAATCGCCTGTCGGATTCTTCAACGCGCGCACCGTTCATACGCCGCAATCCAAGGACAAGATAAAGAGTGTAACGAATCTGGTATATCATCGAGAATCTGAAGACTTAAAGGCGGCTTACGACTGGCAAGAGAAGACGAATGGGTAAAATAGCGGAAGTTCAGCGCCGCTGTGCCTATTGATTCCGTGGCACTGCAAAATCTCCTCGACGAAGGATACCGCATGGTGTCTACGCGGTGGATTGAGATTGACAAGAATGAACATCTCCGTAGACCGGGTGGACTTCCGGTTGCACTGCAGGACAAGAGTAGACTTGTCGTGCGCGGAGATTTGGAATAGTCGCTGGGCATCCGCGCGGATTCGCCAACATGCGAATTAATAGGGCTAAGGTCGATAGTATCATGGACCGCAGGCGCAAAGAAGGCTCAAGTGAGCCGACACTGCATCAGCGTATTTCCAGGGCCAGGAGCTCGACCGCCTCATGCTAATCAAGCCACCGCCCGACGGACTCGAAGGAGTACCGGATGGTGGGGCGCTGATCGCGCGCATGCCTGTCTATGGCGCGCGTGACGCAGGACGAGGTTCATGGGGGAAAATTCGCAAAAGGTTTGAAGCTCATGGTCTAAAACAGAATCGTATAATGTCCGCTTTGTTCAGTATTCACAAGGACAAGAATGAGATCGCGTGTGTGCCAGGCGCACATGTAGATGACATACTTTGGGCTGCAGATGATGAAAGCCAGAAGATCGACAATTCGGTATTAGCAGAGTTTGGCATTCGCGACATCAAATTGGAAAATTGCTGTCATTGTGGTTTAGAAGTTGTTCCAGATGAAGATGTCACGGTGAGTGTCGCGGCCAAGCGTGCTGTTGAGAATATCGAAGCTGCATCCTACCCTAGGGGCAGTCCCCTCGAGAAATGCAATGAGGGTGGGGCGACGCAGCTCAGATCGGTCGTGGGTGCTTTGTCATGGGTTACATGTCAGTGTAAACCTGAGCTATTGCATCGCGCGAGCAAGCTGCAGACAGCAGCGCGTCGCGCTAAGGTACTTCATCTCAAGGAAGCCAACCGTGCATTAGAAAAAGCAACGCAGTCCGCCGACTGCGGATTAGTATCTACAGGTGAAGCTGTCAAGTGTGATCAAGGTCTGATAGTTCCCACCGTTACTGACGCCAGCCGGGCAGGAGAATATGATATAATCAAGGGTAGAATCGAGCCTCTCAGATCACAGAGGGCTAGATTCAACGGACTCGCAGGGCCTGGGTTCGTCGAGGGGAACAGCGATCATGTTCACCTTATCTGTGTATCTAGTAAAGTTAGCAAAGGAGTATGTAAACCTACACTACAAGCAGAGACTCTGGCTTGTTTATGGAGTGCAGAACCTGGCGCGCTCATCCGCGCCGCAATCGCAGATGCTCGTGGGGCGCTTGGCGCCGGAAACAAGCTGCCAACCAATTGGGGAGACAAACCAGCCATGTCTATAACATTTATGGTTGACGGATTGTGAGTGCCTCGAAGAACATCTCATAGCCCCAACTATGGGCAAGACAAGCTAAGCGCTTGAGTATTGATTTCGGGAGTTTAAGACATGATATATGGAGTACTGAAATGGAAGAAGTAGAGATCTCACATCCACGCAAATTTTGTGATAAGATCCGGTGGACCGATACACGTATTATGGCTGTTGGTTATCTGACGAAACATATGCCCACGGATTTCTTTGTTCAGATCTTACGTGCTGGTTAGTATGATGTAACCCCAGATCCTGAATCTACTTTAAAGAAGGTTAAGAAACAACTGGCGAGGGCCAGGGTGAATGCTATCCCATCAGGGAAGTAAGTGACTGAGTCTTGGCTGCTTTCACTTGAAGAATCCCAGCATAGGAGTGTTCCTTTTATTGCCCCTAGATCGTGATAAAGTTTCACGGGTGTGAGATAGTGCGTTCGTGACGTGTGTATACGCACCATTCGCCGCCACTCGCCGCCGTTTGATTTCTAGGGGCCCCTTTTTGCCATTGCGCTAAAACGCATCATACGCACAGTCGTCGTCGTTCTCGTCGTCGTTATCATCGTCGTCCGTCGTCCGTGGTCGTCGTCGCCGTCGCCGTCGATATCGCCGTCGCCGCCTCCGCCGCCGTCGCCGTCGCCTGCGTCGTCGCCGTCGCCATCGCCGTCGCCGTCGCCGTCGCCGTCGTCGTCGTCGTCGCCCGTCGTCGTTGTCGTTGTGGTCGTCGTCCGTCGACCGTTGTCCGTCGTCCGTCGTCGTCGCTGGCGTTTGTCGGTTGCGTCGTCGTCGTCGTCCGTTGTCGTCGTCTTCGTCGTCGTCATCATCGTCGTCTGCCGCCGTCGTCGCCGTCGCTGTCACCGTCGCCGCCGCGTCGTCGTCGTCGTCGTCGCGCGTTGTCGTTGTCGTCGTCGTCGTCGTCGCCCGTCGTCCGTCGACCGTCGACCGTCGTCCGTCGTCGTCGTCGTCGTGGTCGTCGTGGTCGTCCGTCGTTTGCGTCGCCGTCGTCGTCGTCATCATCGTCGTCCGTCGTCGTCCGTCGTCTGTCGTCCGTCGTCCGTCCTCGTCGCCGTCGCTGACGCTGTCGCCGTCCTCGCCGTCGCCGTTGTCGTTTTCGTTCTCGTCGTCGTCGCCTTCGTCAGCCATGGTCGTTCGTCTTCAGGTCGTGTGGGACAACTGCGGGGGCCGTGGCGCCAGCGGCGCGGCGCCCCTGCGGCGCCCCCGTGGCGGCGGTGCCCCAGCGTGCCAGCAGGTGTGGCTGAGGCGTCGGGGTGGTCTCAGATCGGCGGGGTGCCCAGGGGTCGGGGGCGTCCAAAAGGGGGGTGATGACTAGAGCACGGTGGATCACTTCAGGAGGTCTTTAGTTTTGTACCCCCCTCTGTTCCTATCGGCGGGTGGCAATCTGGCCCCTCCTCCTCCTGCTCCTGCTCCTCCTGCTCCTCCTCCTCCTCCTTCTCCTCGTGCTCCTCCTCCCGCTCCTCCTCGCGGTATTTATCTTAGTGTCCGTCGTCGTTGTCGTCGCGGCGGAGAATACTTTCCTTCCCTTGTTGGGCGGGTTTGATCATGGGGGGGTGTCTCCCAGGGAATAATCCATTGCGAGCTACCTTCCACGCAAGAGGATGTGTGAACATGTTCTCATGAGGGTTGCAATGGTACTCATTGGTTGTGGTGGTAGTCGTGATTGCAGTGGTTATTGCAATCGTGATTTGTAGTTGCGATTGTAGGCGTAATCGTAGTCATGGTTGTAGTCGTAACCGTAATCGTAATCGTAGTCGTAGTTGTATTCGTCGTCGCCGTCGCGGCGGAGATTGTTTTCCTTTTATTGCTGGGTGGGCTGGATAAGATTTGGGGAGGTATCCCAGGGAGTGATGCTCTCAGGGAAACTATGCACGACAGGGGGATTCTGAACACGTTTCGCAATACAGATCGACCCATCCTTCGCCGAAGGCGTTTCTGGTTATCTCATCCTTCATCTCGTAGTCGTCGTCGGCGTTGTTGTGTGGCGGGTGCCGCGGATAAAGATCTGTTTTCTATCACTGGTGGGACCCAGTCGGTCAATAAGGTCGCCGAACATATCATCAGTTTCCACTATTTGGGGTGGTCGATCGACCTATGGCGGTTGTCTCTGGGTATCACAGATTCGGCGGCGAGCGAGGGAGGGAAGTGAGAGAGAGAAGGCCTTTTCAGAAGACGGCAGGGCTTCCAAAAAGGCCTCCAGGCTTTTGGGGGGGTCCAAGGTCGGCAGGGTGCCCAGGGGTCGGGGGCGTCCAAGAAGGGGGGTGATGACTAGAGGGGGGGATATCCCTGGGTCTCCCATATTCACTATTCGCCGAACCGCCCCAACCAAACCCGGAGGTCCCATACCTCCTCACATGTCGGGTTGCGGGGCGTACGGGTTTCACTGTTTTTTTTTGATGTTTCTGGATGCCCCCTCCACTGGGAATTGACAGGCGCAGCGGCGATTTCGGGGTGGGTTGGAGTGGTTCGGTGGGTAGTCACAGATGCGATCCGAGAAGCCATGTGGAGCCCGATGTCCGCGCCGGCGGCGCCGATGCATCGCCAATACATCGGTGATGCGTCGGCGATGCGGCGCGATCCTCCGACCCCATCCATTCGGACCACATCTGGGAGGCCGGTAATACCATGGCCGTGGCCAAGCTATTTCCCCGGTTTGCATGGCCCCTTCTTCTACGGTCGGACCGAGGTATAAGAGCGAGGTTGGCTCGGGGAGGGTGCCCTGATGTTCTTCGTCTTTGTGGGGTGTTCGTGTGCATCCTCGGGAGGGTATCATTGGATATTCTCTGTGTGTGTGTGTGCTTGGCCGGCGGGGATCCGCATGTTTTTGAAGGATTCTCTTCTGTCCTAGGTCTGGCTGCGAATGCAAAACGTGCCCTGCCCCCTCCTCTCGTCCACGCACCAACCTCGGGCCATGATTCCCTCTGGGGCGCCCCCGAAGCGGGGAAGGCAGAGGAGGCGGGCGTGCGCAAAAGGCTTGGACGTTCTCTGGCGTGTGGAGAGGCTTTCCAGGCCTTCTCCGAAGCCACCCACAAGACGCCAGTTAGGAGGAGGAGGAGGAGGAGGAGGAGGAGGAGGAGGAGGAGGAGGAGGAAGACGAGGAGGAGTAGGAGGAAAAGGAGGAGGGCTTCCGGGGAACCCCGGGGGGCTTCGGGAAGCCCCGCCACTTTTGAGATGGCCTGTCCTGTCTCACTTCCACCCTCGGCGCGTGAACGACAAGATGGGGCGAGGACGCTTTCGTCGTCGAGAAGGGAGGGGGGGGGAGAAGTGTTCGTTTGTTCTCGGGGTGCTTTTTCGCTTCGGGGTGTTTTTGTCCAGCGGATGCGCCTCTTTGGGAGCGTTGTGGGGGTGCCCAGATCGTCCCGTACGACCGTCGCGGGCTCTAGTTATGACCCGGAGGCCACCTGGGCGTCGAGAGGAGGGGTGTGCGGACCAGGGCGCCGACCTGAACAGCGCTTTGTCGATTTCGTGGACCATTTTCGTTTCGATCCTGTTTTGCAGCAAAGGCTAGACGAATACAACGGCACATTGAGAACATATCGAGCGCGCACAACACGGGCCTTGGTAAGGATTAGGGGAGTGTATCAATTTTGAAGAAATTGGAGTTGTCAATTCCGCTGCTCGCGCAATCATCCCACCCACCCGCCCACAACTTGGTTTGAAAAGCGCATGCGGCGGTGATTGCGATGACTGTTTGGCGCTGGCTGGCGCATCGCCGCGGCCGCGCTAGCCCGCGCAGGCTCGCGCGCAGAGCGGCCCGCTAGTTTGGCGCGACCGACGCGGCCGCGTTGGCGCTGACCGGTGAGGAGTGCCCAGCGCTTCTCGCCGGCAGCGCTGGCGCGCGTGCACTTCAGTGCGAGTCGGTGACTGTGGCGGGTGCGGTATCATGGTGGCGTCGACAACGGTGGACACGCTGATGATGGTAGCGATGATGGCGACGCTGATGGCAATGACGACGGCAAGGCCACTGATGGTGCCAATACGAGTCGCGCCGGTGACGATGATGTTGTCCACGCGTCTGTGCTCAGGGGTTTGACAAGATTTCGACGTGCTCGTGCGGCCGACGCGCGCGAGTGGCCTGCGCGGTATTATTTGAGGGATTGTGACCCCATTCCCCGAGCAAGCGCGCAAGGGCGTCCGAATGATCTCTTTTCGCGCGCGCGAGAGGCCCGCGGGGTCTCATTATACGAATGTTGAAGCAACGATGCTTCTCTTACGAGTTCACATGAGCGCGCGCACATTTTCGCCAAGTGATGATGGAGCGTGGTTTCCTGAAACCTCGACCTTGAACTCCTAACGAGTCATATGTTTCTTGAACGATTCCGAAGCGCACGCGCGACGACGCGCGCGCATTTGGACTTGGTATGATTATCTGGCAATGGATTCTCTAACGTGTATGATTTTAGGTAAACGGGCGCACGCGTAGTATCATTTGTCGGGGATGAGGGGGGGCGATACTGTCCCTCCTGTTATGATGGGGCAGAACCGTGCCAAATTGCAGCGCCTCAGGGGGGCCGTGAAGTCCCGCCTCGGGAAGGCGCCTCCTCTTGGAAAGGAGAATACACACCACGGCCGTGGCCGTGGGAACTCTCAAGATTTCGTGGCCCCCCTTATTATTCTCCTTTCAAGTTGCATTCCATGGCCCTTGCCCCGCCGTCGTCCGCGTTCTTTGCCCCTGGCCGAGATGCGCCCCCCCGCCCCCCCTCTGGCGGGTACCTGCGTGGCCTTGGGGTGCCGTCGGTTGGTTCGTGGCGACCGGCAAAAGACGAGAGAACGATGGAAAAGAGAGGGGGCCGATCGCCTGCGCCGACATTCGCGCATAAGCTTTTCGCGCAGTGTCGTGCGTCAGCGCCCTCCTCTCCACGTGGAGTGCCACGCTGGCGACCCGTGTGAACCGCCGCGCTGTGCATTTCTGCGAAAGGCTTGTTTTTTTTTCTTTCGCCGCTCACATTAACCACGTGGTATGACCCCTCTTTTCTTCATGCCCCCCCCCCCATCGGCCTCTTCTTCTTGGCATCGTTCGGACGTTTTTTTTTTTTTCTCGGCGAGGACCATCGAGGAACATCTTGGATCATCTGTCAACGATGGCACGAAACCGAACGATGGCGAGTCTTCGTCGCAAGGGAGGCATGCCCGCGACCTGCATCATCCGCGCGGCAGGTGCCCGCGCAGCGGCACGGGCACCTCCCGCGCGGAAGGTGCGGAAGGTGCAGGCCGAGGGCGCGGGAGACGTGCGACGACAACGGCGACGACGACGGCGAAACGACGACGGCGACGACGACGGCGGCGGCGGCGGCGGCGGCCGCGGCAGCGACGAAGACGACGACGGCGACGCCGACGACGACAACGAAGACGGCATCGTCGACGGCGTCGACCGGCGGCGACCGCGCCGCCGGCGTTCAGTGTCGAGCGCCGACGGCGATCCAGAATCGTTCGATGTCGAACGACCCAGCTCGCGCGCCGAAGTCTGCTGGACCATGGTGAAGACCGTCAGAAGACTGCCGAAGACCGCCCGTGGCCGATAGATACCAAGGAGAGCATGGTCGAACACGTAGGAACGGGGTCCTCACATTTCGGGGTTCCGAGGTGCGTGATACGTTTTCCCTCATACGTTTCCTAGTCCGAGGCCTCCAACAGTCAAAAACCTGTCTCGTCCGTCCTCCCGCCTCCCGCGCCCCGCCTCGGGTCGACCGTGGCCGAGACCCACAACAAGGAGACCCTGGTCGACCATGGATAACCATGGGTCGACCGTCGACCGTGGTCGAGACCCGTAACAAGGATACCATGGTCGACCATAACAGGGAGACCATGGGTCGACCGTGGTCGAGACCCATGACAAGGATGACAAGGGGACCATGGTCGAAGCAGCGGGGGCGCGCCGATGATCGCGCCCCGCGCGTCGTGGTCTGGGCTGGAGAGCTGCCCCTCTCCAGGGGGTCCGGCGAGGGGCGCGGGGCGCAGTGCGGGAAGGTCCTGGGCGGCCCAGGGGAGGAGCTTTGACGGGAAGGAGGGCCGTAGTTTAGGTCGGGCCTGTCCCTCTACAGGGGGAATAGACAAAAATAGTCAAAAGATAGTCTGGGGATTATTTGTTGAGCATTTTTTGGCCATTTTGGGGCATTTTTTGCGTATCTTTTATTTTTCGCAGAAAGTCCTCCTGTAGGGGGACGCGCCCGACTTAACCGCAGTTCTTCGTTTGTCCCCTGCCGTTTCCGGCCTCCCCAGGGCACCCTTTCCGGGGCACCCCGGGGCCGTTAGGGAACGACCCGGGACGAAGAGGAATGGTCCCAGAGGAGAGTTCGGGGGCCGCCGAACGGTGCGGAGGTTCTGGTGACCGCACCGCGACGGGGTCGCCGCGCGGTTTTAGGACTCGGGTCGTTCTCTAAGGGATGTCTCGGGCGGCCGGGGCCTCCGAGGTCCCAAGACCTTGGGGTGACGGACCGAGCAGTGAGACCCTTTGGGGTTTGAGGTCACCGCACGACCTGTCACCACACGGTGACGACGACGACGACGACGACGACGACGACGACGACGACGACGACGACGACGACGACGACGACGACGACGACCACGACGACGACGACGACGACGACGACGGTGGCGGCGGCGGCGGCGGCGGCGGCGGCGGCGGTGGCGACCTGAGATCCGGGCGTCGCGAACTTTTTGCACCAGGCGATCTCGCCCAGTTTCGAGCCTGGGGGCCTTCAAGGATAGGCTGGGCTCGGGAGAAGCCGCCCAAAGGTGGGGTCCAGGGCTCCGGTCGTCACTTTCCGCGGTGTTGCAGTTTTTCGGCGAAAGGCTTCTCAGAAAGCCTCCTGCCTTCCGAAAAGGTGTCTGCGTCTGCGGAGAAGGCCCAGAAGCCTTCTCAGCAGGCTTGATGCGTCCTGAGCTTTCTGAGAAGGCCCGCCCCCTCTGGTTTCCCCTCCCCCTGGGCTCGCCGCCGAGTCTTTCTCGTGACGGCTGATCTCAGGGGCTACGGCGGCGGCGGTAGCGACGACGGTGGCAGCGTTGCGGAGGCGGCTCTGGGACGGCTACGCCGTGGCGTTCGTCAATTACACGCGTTCCAAGGAGTCGAGTAGGTGGTCTACTACAGAGTCGATTTGCCCCAAAATTGATTTCCCGCCGAATCTACGAGACACCCACAATGCTCCGTAGATCCACTTACTGTGCTACGCATTTTTCTCATGGATTCGACGAGAAAGTGATCATTTTTTTCTTTATTGTTTTGCCGATCGGCGCGGGCCCTCGCACCCCCTCCCCCCCCCCATCAAGTAGATCTTGGCAGTTTTTGGCGCCTGTTTCACGCTGGTGGAGTCTTCCCCATAGGACGCACTGCTGCAACAGTTGCATCAAGCAGGGGTCCAGAGCCAGACTCTCCCTCCCCCCCTCCGCCCAATGTCGAAACGCCGAATAAGATAACGTGCGCAACATCGATTTCGGGGTAAACCAATTCTGTAGTCGATCCCCTTTTCGAAGGAGGGGAGGCCTGAGAAGGGCGCTGCTGGCCCCGAGGTCCTGGCCTTCAGCGTGCCGGAGGTGCTGGGCTGGCAGGGGGCGATGGTCCGGGACTTGTGGGCGCACGCCGACCTCGGGCTCCACGCGAACGTCTCGGTCCTCGTCGTCGTCGTCGTCGTCGTCGTCGTCGTCGTCATCTCTCTCCTCCCTCCATCATCTCTCCCTCCTCCCTGCTTCTCCCCCTCACGCCCTTCCTTCTTCCTTTCCTGCCTCCTCCCTCCCTCAACCCCCCTCCTCATCATTATCTTAATCCCCCTCCCTCTGGGGAAAAGGGTTATGAGGGAGGACGAGGGAGGAGGAAGAGGAGGAGGAGGAGGAGAAGGAGGAGGAGGAGGAGGGGGAGGAGGAGGGGGAGGAGGAGGAGGAGGAGGAGGAGGAGGAGGAGTGGGGGGGAGGACGAGGAGTGGGGGGGAGGACGAGGACGAGGAAAATGAGGAGCAGGAGAAGAAATCATGGTGGCTTCGCGATTCCATTGAGCCCCCCAGGTCCAGGGAGGAGGAGGGTGATGGAAGGATGAGGAGGGCGAGAGGTGAAGAGGAAAAGGAGGAGGAAGAGGAGAAGGTAGGAGGGTTGTTCAAGCCCCCAAAATGATACCCCGTCGTCTTCGTAAGCACGGCCCCCTCCCTCGACGAGGACGACGACGGCGACGACGACGACGCTCGAGGGGCTCCCACCCAGGCCCTTCAGAACGCCCTCCATCTATTGAAACGCGCCAGGGCACACTTTTTACCAACAAGGTGTTCGTTACGTTGTTTCTGAGGCCCCTGGGGTCCCGCCCCTACTGTCAAGTCGGGCCTCTACAGGGGGAACATTTAAAGATAGGCAAAACATAGTCAGGGTATGTTTGTTGAGTATTTTTTACACTTTTGGAATATGTTCGGTGTGTTTTTTATTATTCGCCAAAGATCCCCGGACACGCCCGACTGAACCCTACTGGGGGATACATTATGCCGGGGCCCGCGGGAGCGCCTCCTGTCACCACCCCCTCTTGTCCCCCGGACTCGTGGTCGTTGTGTGCACGCGGTGACGACTGCGACGACGACGACGACGACGACGACGACGACGACGACGACGACGACGACGACGACGACGACGACGACGACGACGATGGCGACGACGATGGCGATGACGACGACGACGATGGCGATGACATCGAAGGCTTTCGCCATTACCCCGTTTTCTTCCCCAGGAATTCCGAGGAGGCCTCCGAATGCCCCAGGAGGCCCCAGAAGGTCCCACGAAGCCACAGGAGGTCCCAGGAGGCCCCAGAAGGGCCCCAGGAAACACCAGAAGGGCCCCAGGCAGCCCCAGGAGGCCCCAGAAGATCCCACGAAGCCACAGGAGGTCCCGGGAGGCTCCCGAGGGGCCCGAGGAAGCCCCAGGAGGCCCCTGAGGGGCCCCAGGAAGCCCCAGGAGGTCACAGGAGGTCACAGGAGGTGCCAGGAGGCCCCAGGAGGTCTCAGGATACCCGAGGCCCCAGGAGGTCCCAGGAGGTCCCAGGAGGCCCGAGGCCCCAGGGGGTCCCAGGAGGTAGCAGGAGCCCACAAGATGATGGCCCGTCCTGGTCGATCGGACGGTTGGGAGGGAGGGAGGGGGGGAGAGGGGGGGAGGAGGAGGAGGAGGAAGAGGAGGAAGAGGAGGAGGAGGAGGAGGAGGCGGAGGAGGAGGAGGCGGATGAGGAGGAGGAGGAGGATCTCGCCACTTTCGTTGCGAAAGTTGCCTGCCGTTCTGCCAGGGGGCAGGCGAGCACGCTCGCGCTCTCCGCCACAGCGCAGACATCACACGCCACAGCAATTTGCACCAGCTTCGCGCATGGCTACCGATCCAATAGCGGGCCGCGGGATTTTTCTGAACCCGCCCCCATAGGTCCATCGAGGATCAGACAATGACATATCCATGAATTGTCGGAGGTCCGAAAGTGGAGATGTTCGTCATTGTTTGATCCTCGAGTCCAGCTTGTCGAGTAGATCAGGACGGAAGGCCTTCGCCGATTTGGGCCTGGTTGTCAGTAGTCGGTGGCGTCGAAGAGGCGGGGGATGACTAACGGGGAACGGATATCATGGCGGGGCTCACGACATCTCCCTGGATGTCATGGCCCGCCTTTCTCATTTCAACGCATGCCCTGGTCCCCCCCTCGTCTGCGCACGTGCATCCAGCCATGATTTGAGAACCCCCCTCTTGGCCGCCCCCCTCCTTAGACGACCCCAGGGCATGCAAGCCGTCAGTGAATGACGCAGGATGAGAAACCGGCCCAAGGGGGGCACGCATTGAATAATTCAAGAGACCGGATCTCCGGGGGGCGCGTTCGTCGTTCACCGCAGAGGCCACCTCATTGGATGATGATGCGACCTATGTCGATGATCCTCAGGACGTGTTTTAGCTCTGCGTGTGTGCGTGTGTGTTTATCCTGTTAATCCCGCAGCCTGGCTTGTCGCCCTCTACCGCGCTGAGCGTCCGCCAGCGTTTCGACCCCAAAGTTTATCCCGTCCAACTCCCCCGATAGCACGCAGCCGGCGTCGGCCCTCATTACGCCGCACGCTCCAGATTGGATGGCTTCGGTGGACAAACACGCAATGGCGCCGGCACACGCTCTGATGATCATCGGCTACGTCTCTCGCGTCGCGTCGCCTCCCGCGGAGCTGGCTGGGCGAAGTGGGCAGTGATGGACTACGAACACTAATTTCTACCATCGTGTAGTCCTATCACTGCGTGGCTAGAGGAGGGTCGGGAGGAGGCGGGGGGAGAGGGAGGTCCGAGGGAGGGAGGTCTGAGGGAGGAGGGGGGTGGAGGAGTGGAGGGCGGGGATTCGGTGGCTTCCTCTTCCCTGCCTCCCTCCATCCTAGTTCCCTTGTTCATTCCTCCCTGCCTCACCACTCTTGCCTCCATCCTCCGTTCTACGGCAGGTTCGTGTCGTGCCGATTCGGCGGCGACGCCGGCGCCTGCGTCCAATGTTGAAGATCATTTGCGGCCGGAGCCAGGCCAATGTTGACCTACTTTTGATGTCAGACAGCCGCGTTCGTTCAAGGTTGAACGATCCACGCGTATGACGAAGACGAAGACGAATGCCGTAGCCAGAGTCGAACGCGAAGACGAAGGTTCGAAGACGAAGACGAATCCATCGTCAAGGTTCGAAGACGAAAGCGCCAGCCGTCACGACGCGAACATGCCGCAGCCAGAGTCCGACATCGCAGGAAGGTTGGCCGAGACATCGGCGGCGCTCCGCTCGGGTAGCATGAAGTCGGGGACGATGTTTCTAGGATTTTTTGTAGTTATTTTTCACCATCTTTTGATTCTGCAGGAGGACATGCCCGATTTAAGGCGCTCAAAGAATGCCACTGGACCCCTCCCAGGGTCCATCCCTGACCCGCTCTTCGAGGCGGATCTGGCCGCAGCGACAGGCAGCATCCAGGACACCTCAGGGAGGACGACAAAACGCCAGGAGAGGCAACATCTCGGACCACCACAGCCAGAGCCCCAGACTCCATCTTTCTGCGGCGCCTCGCGCGCCAGATCGACCAGTGAGGGCCCCAGGGCCCGTCACCGGACGAGACAGCCTGGCGCAAGGAGGAGGAGGAGGAGGAGGAGGAGGAGGAGGGGGAGGAGGAGGAGCAGCAGGGGGAGGAGGATGATGATGAGGAGGAGGGGGATGATGATGATGATGAGGAGGAGGAGGAGCAGGAGGAGCAGGAGGAGGCCCGAGGCTGGAGGAGGAGCGCCGTCGCAGGGGAGGGAACAGGGTAATCGGCGGAAGGGGAGGAGGAGGGAGGAGCAGCCCCCAGAGCTCAGGGGCCGGGAGACCCCCAAAAAGCAGGGGCGCCGAAGGCTCGGGAGGGCCGCCTTGTGGCCTCCACCCCGGCCCTCCTCCGAGCCCTGGGCCGGCGCGATCTTTCCATGCCGGGGGCCATCGCTCTATGCCCCCCAGATGGGGTCGGAATAGATGGGGTCGGAGGATCGCGCAGCATCACCGATGCATCGCCGATGCGGCTCGATGCGGAGACCGATCTTCTCCACGCTGGCGTCGCCGATGCATCGCCGACGTCGCCGATGCATCGCCGGTGCATCGCCGATCCTCCGACCCCATCTACTCCGACCCCATCTAGGAGGCCTCTAATCGCCCCCGTGACTCCACCGTGGGGGCCCATGTGCTCTGGAAAGCGTGACGTTCTCGCACCAAGCAGCAAGGGACGTCCTGGGGTCTCGTGCAGGGTTTCTTGTGTTCGGGCCCCTGCTGCCTGCGTGAAAACCCGTGAAATCCCCAGTCCAGATTTCGCTCCTTCCCTCCGCGGGGTCCCACCTTCGCGGCGACCCGTTAGATCCAGGACCCCCAGCATGCGGAACCCTTGAGCCCTTCCGATGACGTGGGCCCCCGGAGGCCCAGACCTTTCCCCTGGGACCAGCTCTTCATCCCGAGCCGTTTTGTTGACGGCCCTCGGGCCTGGCGAGGCCCCCCAGAAACCGAACACAATTAATTAGCCCAAAGCTGTCCGCCCCGAGTTTTGCCCACTGCGCGAGGGGTTCCAGGACCCATAACAACGTTTGCCATAAAATCATAACAAAAAGGTGTGATGTTCTATCTGAGCCATAAGCGTGTGATATACCATGGCAGCTGGCAGCCATTACAAAGGGTGATGTTCCATCTGAGCCACCAAATAGTTATATGGCAACCAGTATCCACAAAAATCGTGTGATGCTCCGTCTGTGCCACGGATGTCGCGACTGGCCCTCCTCCCCACTCGCCCCTCCTTTGCTGGTCCGGCTGCGCGGGGACGGCGACTCGAGGCTGCTCAAGCTGACGAGGCTCAGCATCACTTAACCGATCCCCATCCCCATGGGGCTATGGTATCTCAGCCCCCTCAGCCCACCCCTCCAAAGATGGGGATAGTTCGCCCGAAACCCGTAACTCGAATCCCCCTCTGAGGGGGTAAGCCGGCCAGTGGGACCAAGGCCATGCCGGTGGGGATGGGGATCGGTGAGACGATGCTCAGAGGCCGCGCGAGGAGGTGGTCATCTGAGCGCGCCACAGGCCTCGCCTAGAGCGAAAGTGTCTGGAGGGTCCAGCCTCCTACGACCCCGCTTAAGCAAAGACAGTCATCAGC